AGAGCTGTGAGGAACACTAGAGTCTACTGAAGATGGTCAGACAGACAGAGATGAAGATGACTTCATGGTTTCTTAAAACAAAAAGGCATCATGTAACAGTTTGTGACATATACAGCAGCTGCATGATGCTATCATGACAATCAGGAGCAAAATCTCTGAGAAATGTTTTCAGAGTATATTTGAGTCTATGAAATGAAGAACTGGGGCACAAAGAGGGGGTCCACCTCAATACTGGTAAGGTGTTCCTAATAAAGTGGCCGCCTGTGCGCACTTCCATAGTTAAATCAAAAACTTGAACAAATATATGTGGTTATGTTTGTATATATCGTGGCATTCAGTGTCAGTGAAAACATGTGTGACTGGGCTCTTAATTTAAAGAGCTGAGCACTCCTGATACTGTGTGACGTCACAGCAGGATGGATGAGGTTACTGCCTGGATGTAACACCACCTGTGCGAACAAACCTGTAAAAAGTATTTCACAAATACATGTTGTGAAGTTTATATCTGTTAGTGTGACTTTTCCTCTGTATCACATACAAAACAGCTTCTGCACAAAGGGCAGACATTGAGTCTATGTTACTGACATTTAAAGAGGCTGTTGTTGCACTTAGGTGCCAGTAGATGGCAGCACCACAGCACAGTTTAATCTTGGTACAGTCACACAGCAATATATGAGGTGCCGTAAGGGACATTATTACTGAAACGCTCTCTGTGCCTCTTCTTCTTTCACACCATCCACATCCCTCATGTATTCATGTGTTTCACCTGCAGAGAAAACAGCAGCTCTCAGAGCAAAGTCCTTCACACACCAGCACAGAAGGAAACTAACAGGTGTGAGTTCTGCAAGTTAACAGCTTCAATTTCTGAACAGTTTCCACTTAGACACAATGGAAACATCTCAGTATTAGCACATAGAAGCGTTTCTCTGCAGTTTCTCAGAGGTGACAAACTCACCTGTGACTGTGAGTTTGATGAAGTGACTGATCTCAGTGTGAACTCTCTTTTATCTCCCAGGGTTCCTCACAGCTACGTGACACTTATAAATCTCAGCATCATTAAACGTAACGTTCGTCAGGATCACAGAAACGTCTCCATCCTTCATCTCTGGGTCCCTCAGCTTCACTCTGCCATAAAAAGATGGATGTTGATAGTTTTCATAGGAGCGTTTGTTCCTGTAGAAGTAGACGTAGCCGTCTGTGTTCAGGTCAGGTCTGCTCCACTTCAACACTGAGATTATTTCATCTGTGGAAATCTGACACTGGAGAGTGACGTCATCTCCAAGCTTCACCTGAACATCCTGCTGAAGAGCTGAAGGAAAAACAAGAAGTTACATTTTTAATATTTAACACACCTCAGTGACCTGAACTCACAGGAACATTTAACATAAATCACGTGGTCTCAGGTGTGGAAACCCCAGAAACATTTTTAGACAGTGAAACAAACCTGCTTCTTGTAATCCGCCCACAGTCATGAAGAACAAAATCAAATATAAGTAACGTAGTTAACTAAGCACACTAGTGATTCAGCTTGAAGAACCGCTCATGATAGGAAGTACATTTTTTTTCTGCATGACATCATCGTCTCTGTGGAGGAGTTTTGGGCCATTCTTCTTTACCATGTTACTTCATTGGAATGTTTACACATGCTCGGCCACCACAGCGTCTCAGTCTGGTTGGTTTTTCTGTAGATTTGCTCTTCCTGGAAACACAAAAACACTATTTGATATTTGACTCGTGAGTGTTCAGCTCACAGGCAGATGTGGAAATTAAACACAAAGACAAGAATGAATGAATTGATTGCATTTACATAGCGCTTTTCTAGGCACCCAAAGCGCTTTACATTTCCACTATTCATTCACATTCTCACATTCACAAAAACCATGAACCAGGTCGGTTCATGGTTTTTGCTGTAAAATGTTAAAGTGAAATAAAAAATTTGACCATGTAGTTAAACTCATAAGTAAAAAATCTGAATCATATAAAGGTCCGACTTGTCTGTTTGTTCTATTTATTCACGCTTGACATTTTCACTTTTAATTTCTAAAAGACAATAAAACTTAAAAAGAAATTAATCAAATTCAAGAACAGACAGAAACCCCAGACAGCTCTTGTTATACTTCTGGCTGTAGGAGTCATTTATTCCTTTGTTGATTAGTTTCTGTTGTCACACATTTGGAAACTAGAGGGCGTTTACCTCCTGAGTTACACACAGGGTCAAATAGCAGTGAGAAACTAAGGTGGATGCTGCATCAAATGTAAAGGCAGCTGGAAAAATTGGCTCGGCAGCATCAGCCTGCATTATAGCAGAAACTGAGAGCGCTGATGGAGAGGTGTGAGACAGAGAGACAGGATCAGTAACTGAGGAGGTGATCTATGTTCCTGAAATAACTGCATCATTGGCCACAGAGCATGAGTGAGTCCTCGGACGATGGCATGAAATACTACCTTTAAAGGAAGCAACCTGCAGTTTCTAACACGACATCCCATGGCAAAAGAATACAATCCATTTTCAGAGTCTGTTAGAGGAAGGAACAATTTTCACTGTTAGGATATAATAAGGAAAGAAGGAGGTAGTATTTAGCTAAGTCAACATATTTGGGATTTTCTTCATGTGCATGAAATACAACCAGCACCATGGAGGGAAGCACTGGCAGAATTAAATTAGAGCAAAATGGATCTTGTTTCGGTGGAGCCTGTGAACGCATCATCCAGATGATTAGAAAGGTGCTGCATTCATTTTAAATTAGGAAAGGCGGGATGATGACGGATGAATCAGACACTTTTCAGTGGAAGTCAAACTGAAGTCACCTGGACTGTTGCACACAATGGTGCCAATGATTATTCCTGTCTTTAAAAGGCTGAATGGCTGCTGAAAAGCTCAAACACACACAACAGGTGCCGAGAGGAGACAGGTGGGAGCTAGGGATGGGTATCGTTTAGGTTTTATCCGATACCGGTGCCAAATCGGTACTTTTGAAATGGTGCCGGTGCTTAAACGGTGCTCAAACCGGTGCTTAAAGAATGAAGAACACAAAATTGGTCCAAAAACTTCATGTTCAGCTGGTTTTTTGTAAAAAGATGACAATGTTAGCCTTTTCTGCAGCTATAAGGGATTTATGGCATCACTCTTGGCTGGAAGCAGTGCTTAAACAATGGAAACAACACAAACTTTGTCCAAAAACCTCTCATGTTTAGCTGTTTTCCACTTCCACATCTCAAACAAGAAGACAGGACAGCCGCATGTAACTACGAAGGTTTTTGCTAGTTCACCTTACATGCATTAATGTAATAACGTGGTTAGCCTACTCAACGTAAATTATACACGAACAACATTAAGCTACTCACGCAGAGAAGAACGGCTGCTGCTGCCATCATCATCATCCGTCATCATTTCTGCTACACTGGCAGGGCTAGGGGCCAGGACTCTCCTCTTCGGGTTTTTGGGGGATGTTGCTTACTCCGGGTCCGATAACAGGCATCACACCCGCAGTAGATGTGCTCGGTGTGAGGTCTCGCAGCAAGCTATCAAATACGGCGCATTTCTCGGCTTTAAAAAAAACGCTATAGTTTAGTGTTAAAAAAATGCTCACAGACAGCTGCATGCTTGAGCTAAATAGGCTATAGTAGCTCTGTTTCCCTTCCTCTGATGTGTTCTCATGCAATTCCTGCTCTGAAAATTAAAAACGTCCGTGTCTCTGTGTAACTGCTTAAAAGTGACAATCGATTTAATTCAGCTTCTCCATTTTCCATTTAGCTGTTGTACACAGGGTTTAGCACATTAATCGTTTGTATAGGTTTACCCTATATTTTAACAATGTCTCATAATAAGATGACAGATTTTCAAGCAGGTGCCTCTATGCACTTGATTAGTTTAGTTATTTGCATCATGTACTTCATCTCATATGTCATGTTACTACCATCAAGTCTGCATCAAGCTACCATAAGCTTGATGCAGACTACTTTTAGCAATTATGCACCTCACCTCATAACCGACTAAGGTTAACCCTAACCCTAACCCTTCATGATATTGTTATATTGTTAATTTTGCTATTGTAGATTTATATAGCAGAAATAATGTATTAGAGTATTTTATTTATATTTTATTTTGTATCCACCACAGGCTGCAGGTGATCTGCAGTTTCATCCTTTCCCAAGTTGGAGACATTTTCCTTTTGACACACTTTCCTACACTGAGTGACCTCAATATGCCTTATACATCTCTCTATTTCATGTAATATGTGTTTGTGTCAGTTGTTTACTTTGTTTCATCTTAGTCATTCTAGGCATGGTTTTCATTCCACCTATGTTTCATTATTAAAACCAGTTTATAGATGTTATTCTTGCTGTTATCAGTTTGAATAGCCTGCATTACAGTTAAACTGTAGTTTAATTTAGCCTTTTGTTTAAATTAAATCATCTATTCTCTGCTTGGATGGTTAAATGTGATTGACATGACAGTGGCCAATCAGATGAAAGGAAGAAAAAGGGGGTCAAAATTCGTACTTGTAATTTGAAATTTGAGTGCAGAGTTTTACCCACCACGCGACCGACGCACTCCCGTGCTCGCGAGAAACCACGCAGCTACGGAGCCGTCATGCTCTCCTCAAACCTTTGTTCACTCGCATGGTTATAGAGTCACCCTCTTACTTACTTTGTGTTGTTTCGTGCGCAGTATTGCCCTCTGATCCCATCAATCAGCATTCATCGAGGAGAAGAAAACAGACGCTATATCACCGGCCTGCCCACAAATTTACGTGCCAGGACTTTTCTGCCTATGCTCCCATGAGTCCTTGCTGACGTCAGACTTCGGCGCATTGTTCCCCTCCTCGATGAATGTAGATTTTGGAATCCTGCAATTGAAGGACCAATTTATGTTGGGTTTATCTAGCCACAAACCCCGCTGGAATACAAGACCACTAACTGCATGACAAAACAAGGCAAGACAGAGCTCTTTGTCTTTGTGCCAATCAAAGCTGAGGAAAAGATCCCTTCACCTGTCCTTAGCCAACTTCGACTGATTCCTTCGCTACAGCCCTTTTTATTGTCAGCAAGCAATCATTCATGAATATGCAATTACAAATACATGTGGCATTCTTAAGCAGCATATCTGAACAACAACTACAGTGTCCGTATCCTGTGAGTGTAGGTGCATGTGTGTGTGTTTCCAGCCATACTATACATAGACATATGACCTCTCAATGAACTTAAACTGTATGCAGAGAAGCAGAAGTAAACGTCTTGCTAAACTATAAAAACAAGAACTTGAAATGGGTCATTTAAAGGTGTGAAGTCTTACAGTTTGAGATAACGAACAAGACAGTCTGGTTTATACAGATATAATGGAAATTATAACGTCCAGGCTGCTTCCACTCATCTCATGGTACACAAGTGTACACAGACTCTTATCAGACCTAATAAGGATAAGATATTTTATCAGCACACAAATGATTATATATCTAAGCATAAATGATTATATGTTTCTAAGCACAAAAGCAAAAAAAACCCAAAAAAAACAAAAACACTTATTGTGTGCAATTGATGTACATATTTTTTTTCAAGTTAATTCAACAGATAATTATTTTCAGTGTGCCTAAAAATTAAATAAATAATTACTATGATTTGAAATATGATTATGTACAACATCAGCATGCCATATCTTCCCGCAGTGTTGGACTGGAGGTCATCCTGATTAATCTGACGAATAGGGTCATCTGAAAAACTGAGGGAGAAATCAAACATTCAGCAAAGATTAACGGAAGGCACCATAAATTTGATATAAATGATGTTTTGAAATGATGCTTTGAAATATTATGTAAGTAAAAAAATATTATATCCAACATTGTGCTGTGGCCACCAGGAATCTTGGACTTCTTCATCTTCCTTGTAGCGTTCTGGAGGTCATCCTGGTTAGTCTGACGGATGGGGTCAATTGAAAAGCTGAGAGAGAAATCAAACATTCAGCAAAGATTAGCAAATGGCAACAAAAATTTGGTATAAATGATGTATATGCTTTGAAATATTATGTAGGTAAAAAATTATTATATCCAACATTGTGCTGTGGCCACCAGGAATCTTGGACTTCTTCATCTTTCTTGTAGCGTTCTGGAGGTCATCCTGACTAATTGGACGGATGTGGTCAATTGAAAGGCTGAGAGAAAGAAATCAGCAAACAGCAAGTGAACTTCTGAACTCAAATACCAAATCTACATCACTCAGTTCAATCATAAAAATGCCTCCTCACTGGGAAAGTAACAGGTGTGTCAAATTCACAAGAAAAAGAAAAAAACATTTCAACTAACTGGCAAGTGTGTGCGTGATTTGTCCTAATGAACATGAAAAAGTTAACTAATATCATCAGTTCTGAATGTTTATTTTATTAATAATTGATAATACCTATATGCATTTTAAAATATGAAACGTCCTGTCACTGCACCCACTCTAACTTGGAAATACTAAACACCTACGTGTCAGAATCCATGATTTCTCGGACACACAGCAGTGCTGCCTCACGACAAATCTCTTTGAGGTCACTTCCTGAGAAACCCTCAGTTTCCCCAGCGATGTGGCTGAAGTTAATCAGTGGATCCACCTACAAATGAGGAATCAATCAACTTCCAAAAATCTGATCAAGCAGTGTGAGCTTGAATTGATTGTCAGGAGAGTGTGACAAAGTGAATTTTACATGACAGCTCCTGTCCTATATTTGAAATAGCTCTGCATAAGTGTAGCAGAAGAATCGGAAGAACTAGTTTAATTTCATTTCCCTCCACCACTGAACTTACACCATCATTTTCTTTTCCTTAATTACTATTATTTCTCTTTCCCTGTTCTTCTCCTTTTTCATAGATGTCATTTTTCCTTCCTTCGTTATATTCCTCTCCTTTTCCTAGCTTCTTTTTCCAGTATTCTCTCCTTTTTCCTTACCCCTCTCCTCCCTGCTACCCTGTTTTAGTCCTTTTCTTTAGTCTCTTCTCCCTTTCATTATTTCTTTTTCCAATATTTCCCTCTGTATCCCTTTATTTTTCCATTGTTGCTTCCTTAATGCTTCCTTGTTTTCTTCAATTCCCCCTTTCTTTTCCTCCCTTGTATCCCTATAATACCTGATTTTCCATTTCTTGACCCCTTTTCATTTTCCCCTCAATGCCTTATTATTATTATTATTTTTCAATTCAATTCAATTTATTTATACAGTGCCAATTCACAACAGGGAGGAGGAAAACAAGATGAAACACATGCTGTGGAACAGAGCCAGAAACTAATAACAAGTATGATTCAATGCAGAGAGGTCCACGCATAGTGAGTGAAAAAGGTGATTGAAGAAGAAACACTCAATGCATCATGGGGATCCCTGGCAGCCTACGTCTATTGCAGCATAACTAAGGGAGGATTCAAGGACAACTGGTCCAGCCCTAACTATATGCTTTAGCAAAAAGGAAAGTTTTAGACCTAATCTTAAAAGTAGTAGTAGTGTCTCTGTGTCATCTGCATAGCAGATAGGCATATGCTATGCATTCTGATGATACTGCCTAAGGGAAGCATGTACAGTATAATGTAAACAGAATTGGTCCTAGCACTGAACCCTGAGGAACTCCATAATTAACCTCAGTGTGTGAAGAGGACTCTCCATTTACATGAAAAAAATTGGAGTCTATTAGATAGATATGATACAAACCACTGCAGCGCAGTACCTGTAATACCTACAGCACGTTCTAATACCGAATTTCCCAGAGGAACCCACCCGAGGGATTAATAAAGTTTTTTCTTATCTTAATTGCTTTAATAGGATATTATGGTCGACAGAATCGAACGCTGCACTAAGGTCTAGCAGGACAAGCACAGAGATGAGTCCACTGTCAAAAGCCATAAGAAGATCATTTGTAACCTTCACTAAAGCTGTTTCTTTTTCTTCACTCTTACTTCACTCTTTACTGTTTTCTTCAACTTCCTGTGCTAACTGTATTAAAAGAGCAGAAGAAGAACCATGTTGGTAAAATAATGTAAGATCATAAGGATTAATATCTCAGTCACATGACTTTTTCCCTTCTGCTGTGAACCTACCTTCTCATTTTCCAGGATCAGTCTGAGTATCTGCTTGCGCTGCTCAAAGTTCTGCACGAAAAAAAAAAAAACACACTGTCAGACAATTTCTGTTGCTGTCATTTTAATGATATATCATTAGACAAGCACAAAAGTTCTTGGGAAAAAAATGTAGCAATGCTTTTCTTTGGGTTTGATGTCTTCTCTACCTTATCACTTCTAATGTGGTGATATTATCTGAGTGGTGACAGCTGCCATTCAGGAGAATACTTGAGAGTCCTGCGCTTTAACAGCAGGCAAAAATAGAAATGACTGTGTGATGATGTTGCCATGCCAGGCAAAGCGATCAATTCAGAGGGTACACTGCTGTGTCAGTTTCCATGTTTGTTTGTTTGTCTTTCTTTCTTTCTTTCTTTCTTTCTTTCTTTCTTTCTTTCTTTCTTTCTTTCGTTTTTAAAAAACAGTCAGACTTATTTTGAAAAGGACATACAGGCAGCTTGATGTGGATCTTGGTGGGCATCCTCCTCAAGATGGCAGGGTCTATGTCCTCAGGACGATTGGTGGCTCCCATAATGATCACCTGACAAAGTACACTTTCATCAGCTTTACACACAGAGGCTGAAACCTCTAGGGGCAAACATCTTAAAACTAAGAACAGTATATCGATCATCTGATTGTTTATGTTAGGATTCACATATAGTGCATACATTATGGAGAGAGAAATATGTCTCAAAAGGGTTGAAAATAGGAGTGGGTTTTAAAAAAGAAATAAAATCAATGCCCAATTCTAATCGATTTTAATTTGAATAATCCGATATGCCAGAATCTCATCTTAAAGCTCACAAAACTATTTTAACAACCACCAAACAGTTAAAACAGCAAACGATTAAAGAGCAGGTAAACAGATTCCATATCAGATTCTCAAACAGTGGGTTTTATCAATTTCTGACCAAAATTAACTGAACTAGGAGCAAAAGTAGATCAAAACTATGCTTTACATTAGACGTAGGCTGCCAGGGATTCCCATGATGCATTCAGTTTTTCCTTTCCAGTAACCTTTCTCACTCACTATGTGTTAATAGACCTCTCTGCATTGAATCATATCTGTTATTAACCTCTGTCTCTCTTCCACAGCATGTCTTTA